TTTCTCTCACTTGCTGAGATCCAGGCCTCCACTTCACCATCTCCATTTCCATCTCCATGCCACACTGCTGGGTGGTTCTAGTGTTCTTGCCATTTCCAACACCCTTTAGGTGTTGCCTTTCCCCCCATTGTAATGTAAGGTTCTTAAAGGCAAGAACTATCTTGCTTGCTCATATTTGTATCCTTAGAAGTTAGCATAATGTCCAGCATGTAGAAAGCCCTTAATAAATGATCTGATTGTCTGTTTGTCTGTCCATCCATTGGATGGGCAAAACTCTATTCTCAACCTCACCTTGCTGTCTCTCAGTTAAACATGATGAAAAATGGCTGGAAAAGTTTGGATGGATTGTAGAATATTCAAACTGGAAGGATCTTAGAGAATAGAGCTCAGTCTTTTTATTTTACATGTAAAGAAACTGAGGCCCAGAGAGGTTAAGTGACTTGCCCAGATCACATAGCTGATTACTAATATAGTGGGAACTAAAACCTAGGTCTCTGTCATACTCTAATGAAAATGGTTTCTAGAAAAACAACATAGCATGACCTACTGATAGTTCATCAGCTCTGCCATCTTTTATATAGAAAGAATCAAATATTATTACAAAAACACACCCAAAGACAACTAAGTAGTGTAATAGGATTATTTTTGGATAAGAAATGTTCTGTGTAACCAGAGGTCAAATGAAATAACATAGCTGCCAGTTATTCTGACAGAGGACAGTGGGTGTTCCTGTATGCTATGGCATCTTAAACTAGGACAAAAGCAGGATAAACTGGTTAGGAGCTCTTCCATCAGCAGGTGGATGAGTGCTTTAAGAACACACATGAAGCATTTTTTCTTAGCTTTGGGGAAAATTTTTCATCTTTTCAGAAAAAAAAACAGATTGGTTATATATTTTTTGAGTCTTTTGGGATAACTTTCCATCAGCTTTCTCACACTTTTCTTTTTTGATCATACCTGCAATTTAAGCAGTGTAGGACCTTCTACCTATTAAAGAACTCTCACTACCAGTACAAATCAACATTTTCTCAGAAATTTATATTCTTAGAGCAATGCCTGGGAGCATTGAGAAGTGAAGTGAAGGGACCTACAACCAGTATGTGCCAGAAATGGAATTTGAACCCTAGCCCTTCTAACTTTGAGGCCAGCTCTTTATCTACCATATCTTATTGCCTCTCACTCAGTCATTATGAAGGATAAATGATTTAGCACCCTTCATAAAGGTTTTGGAGATATGATTTGCTTCTTTGAAGCATGGCCAGAAGCATACCTCGTGGGCACTGTTGTAGCTGACAGGAGAACCATCTGGGACAAAATTTAAAAAAAAAATAATAAAAGAAACCTAATTGTACTTGAACTGTAACATTGTTATCAAGAGTGTGTCAGGTACCTTTTATCCCTCAAGAGTGGGATAGGAGAAATATGCATGTTAATTCTGTCCTTGCTGAGTGCGTCTGGGTATCTCAAAATCACCAAGAATGTTTTGGTTATGGTTGGGGGTGGGGGAGGGAAAACCTCAGGGAGCAATCTTGGAGTTCAGTACACCTGGATCCTTGGGAGAAAGGAACCTGTGGCATCTTGGGAGTAGGGACTGGGGAGGGAGAGTGGGGAAGGAGCTCACTGAGGGTTAGAATGGAGAAGTCTGGCATGGAATAAATTCCTATTTTTTCTTCTCTTCTTCCTCCCCCCTCCCCCTCTAAATTTTGGCACTGTGGACAAAGCTCTGATCATTCCCTTCCATTTTGCTTATGACTTTGCCTGTATTTCATTTCAGGACTGTTCTCATTAAGTGATATTTTTTTTAAAAGTATCTGACTGAATTTTAAAAATATTTCATAGTAACCTAGTAATATCTCTACCCAAACACTTATTCTTATATAATTCAATTTGAATTATTTTCGAAAGTTCAGTATATGGTATTTTCCTTCAAAATAATAATGTTGGTGAACACTTTGAACTCCAGTGAAACCAAGTATAGCGGAACGCTCCTTACATCAAGTGAAATTCTAATTGTAGAGCACTTAGCACAGTGCCTGGAACATAGTAAGAGTTATATAAATGTTAGCTATTATTACATTTGAGAGGATTAGAACCAGTGTGAGTAAAAAGAGAAGTAGAAGGATTGGGTAAAAGGTTAACCACAAGTGACCTTTCATCCAGTGAAGCCTACCATTTCTCTTCTAACCTCTTTCTTTTTCATTCCTAATCTGTCCAGTTGTGGTGGTTGTGTTCATGTACTTGAACATAAGAATATGAACTAGGTTGACCCTGTACCACAAGGTTTGTTACTTGGGCCCATCATTTAACCTATCTGGGCTTCCATTTCGTTATCTGTAAACTAAGAAAGTTAGACTAGGTGGCCTTTAGAAGTACCTTCTAGAACTAAGTCTATGATACTGTTATGTCCCTTTTGAAACCTCAAAGTTCCAAGAATTATGCAGTTTTCTTGCCTTTGTTTCATTTTCCTCCTTTTATACTTTTATTGTTTCCCTTTTTTTTTAACATTCTCTTTTTTTATGTCCCTTTGAGTTTTCCTTTTTTCTACTCTATTTGCATATAACCATAGATTTGGAGTTGTAAATGACCTAATCCAACCATCTCATCTAGTCTAACTCTCATTTGACAGATGAAGAAACTGAGGCCCAGGGAGTTTTAATGATTCACTGAAGATCATATGAGAATACAGCCACAAAGGCAGCTAGGTGGCGCAGTGGATAGAGCACCAGCCCTGGAGTCAGGAACACTTGAGTTCAAATCCGGCCTTAAATACTTTAAACTTACTAGCTGTGTGACCCTGGGCAAGTCACTTAACCCCATTGCCTAGCCCCCCCAAAAAAAAACCAAAAAAAGAATAAAGCAACAGAATCAGAATTTGAACATGAATCTTCTGACTCCAAATTCACTATACTGGGGCTGTCCTTAATATATCTTTGGCTACATTTTCTCTTTCTCATTACCAGTGTCTCTTCTTCCTTTTCCTCCTTTCCTTTTATGGTTTCTTTTTCTTTTCATTTCAGTGAACCACTATCACCTTATGTCTTTTTCCTCTCTTTCCTTTCTTTGGTCCTATCCTCAGTGCTCCAGGTTAGGTTTTCTGTTGCTGCCATCTAATGTTAGGGACAAAGAACTACAGCATGGCGCAAATGAGGAATCGCTACAGTTTTATATTGATCATATAATGATTTATTTTTAATGATCTTTTTTTCATTGTGTAAGAGATTTGTATGTTATCTGCATTCCCTATACTTTATATTCAACTAGACTGCAAGTTTCTAGAGGGAACTTTTTGATCCATTCTTAGCACCTCTGTGTTGTAACTCTTAAAATATGCTACATAAAATGAGACCTCAATAGATATTTTTGATTGACTTTTTGATAATTTTTCTCTGACTTTTTTATGTACATTTTTTTGGTGAGGCAATTGGGGTTAAGTGACTTGCCCACAGTCACACAGCTAGTGTATGTTATATGTCCGAGGCCAGATTTGAACTCAGGTCTTCGTGACTCCAGGGCCAGCGCTCTATCCACTGCACCACCCAGATGCTCCCTTACTGAATTTCTAATGATTGATTTTGTTGAAGTTAGAACTGTATGCTTTATCCTATAACCCTCATCTCTTGGAGGTTTGTGATATTGAGGCAGGGAACTTTACTACTAATTTCCTTTACAAATATTTAGTAATTAATAACAACAACAATAATAATAGCTAACATTTATATAGTACCTACCATGTACAATCACTGTGCTAAACATTTTACAGTCATTATGTCATTTGAACCTCACAACAACCGTGGGAGGTAGGTTCTATTATTATCCTCATTTTACAGATGAAGAAACTGAGGCAAACAGAGGTTAAGTGATGTGTCCAGGGTCAGACAGCTAGGAACTCGCTTTGAACTTGGGTCTTCTTGACTTCAGGTCCAGCACTGTAGCCACTGTGCTACCTGACTGCCTTAATTTTGTCTGTTCATGAAAAGTATATAGGGATATATAGGTAGAATTCTTATGATGCATGGAGTAATAATGAGAATCAACTCCTCCACAATAGAATGGTTTTTTGGGGTTTTTTAAATTTTTTTTTTCTGAAAAGAAGATGACTTTGTGGTCTTGGCAGCTCCATAGCTACTTACCAGTTGTGTGACCTTAGTTTCCTCATCTGCAAAATGAGGACTAGATGACCTCAAAGCCCTTTCCAGCTCTTACAATTATCATTGAGTCTGTGCTAAGTGAAACTTTTCTATAATATTAGTTTTTTTTCTTGGTATAAAATCTGAATCTTACCTCATTATGCTGACCTCAGTAAATACTGAGTTGCTTGCACTGACTTCATTAGAGTTTCTGAGTTTGCTTGAACTATGTTATGTTATGATTTCTCCCCCCCCATTGGGTTTAAAAAAACAACAAAACAAAACAAATATCAAACCATTTTTAAAAAATCAAAATTGAAAAAAATCTGTTTAAAGAGATTTTAAAAGAAAGTTAAGAGGTATTTTTTACCTCTAAACTTAACCTCAGTCTCCTCATTTGAAAATAGAAAGTTTTGGACCTGATGACCTCCAAGTTCTCCTCCAGATCTAAATCTATGATCCTATGATTCACTCATCAGACTCTTAAACTCAAGCAGCAAAGGTCTCATTCATAATTAAATGAGATTTTTGGATCGTAATGATGTGACACAAGCAAAAGGTTCTGTTTGTTGTTCAGATAGATCTTTATTGGGCATATGAAAACATTGCCCAGCTCTTTGGAAACTCCAGACCTGCTCAGAAAGTGACTACTAGTCATTTTTTCCCCCTTAGATAATTCATTTGTTTGTTTATTTCTTCATTTGTGTGTGGTCTTTTTGTAAAAGTACATGACAAGTTTAAAGAATTATTAACTAAATCCCTGTTAGTTTAATGGAAGTACCAGTGGCTATCATGTGATTGGGCAGGACTGGGCACCTATCAGTATAAACATGTGGCAAAGTCTATCCCATGCCACTGCTTATCTTCTGCTGAGGAGAAGGGCTGAAGCAATTTAAGCAAATCTTATTGGTGAAGAAGTCTCATGTATTGACTTTTTTTTTTAAAGAGCCATTTCCTTTCAGTTTTAAGCATATCACTGTGTTTGCAAGGCAACAACCTTCTTTCAATCTGGATAATAGCTGCAAGTTTCTGTATTTCTAATTCAGAGGTGTTTTCACCAATGCAAAAGACATGGTTGAAGAGCTAGTTTAACTTTAAAATGTTCTACTTAGAAGATGGTGATGAGGAGAAGAAGAATGCTCATGATGAAGGCGCATTAGATAAACCTGAAAATGTTTTTCTTGGAAAAACCCCATCTGGTATCCTGGTGAGTTACCTTCACAGGTGATACCTTTTGCTCCCCTTTGTCTAGTGATTCAAGCTGACTGGTGCAGAAAGAAAAATAAGGTTTTATGCCTTGGAAAGTTTTGAGAGGGTTTGTTTGGTTGGTTTTACTTGTACAAATATCAATGAAAAATTTTTAAAAATTCTTTATGAAAGTGTGATTTAGGTGGTACTTTGCCTATGTAGTCTTGAATATCTTCCCTTTTTTTTTCTTGATTAATACCTTGATCTCTAATCCTTTGACTTATATGTTAGAACAATATTTGGTCATTGGGCTTTCCTTCTCTTTACAGTATGACCTTTCTCTCCATCATCGACATATTTTGTTACTTCTTTGATTGTGTTACCAATTCTTAATTCCTTACATATTCCACATTTTTCCCTGATTAGCAAAAAAAAAAAATAGTGCATGTTGTAGTTTTGTTAAACTTTGTGATTCTTAAAGGGCTTTTTGTGGTTTGAAACAATGTTAGTTTCGCATTCAGTGTAGTTTCACATTCAGTTCTGATTGAAGCTTGGGTAAAAAGACATATAAACTTGTATGGGAACAGTTAGAATGGGGGAGGAGGATGCAAAGACAATTTAACCCTGGACCTCAAGCTCGAAGAGGCCCTAAAATTTACCACGCTGGGAGTGTTAGAATTGTGTGGCCAGGTTTACAATCAATTTTGACATTGCATGGAAACTCGAGTTTTCTTCAGTAAGGCCATTTTTGCTGAGGAAAATATTTGTTAAATTAAATTATCACTGCCCTTTTGGAGTGCCTTTTAATGTATCTTTATATTTAAAATTATGACTAGGGATCTCAAAAACTGTTAGCGGCCTGGGCTTTTATGTACCCCAGAGAAAGACTGTGTCCTGTTGACTTAAATAAACTTTAAGTGTTTGTAAGGCAAATCAGTGTTTTGAAATTGGCTTTCACTATATTATATATTGTAGCCAAGTGTGAAGGAGTTGACCTTTTTTTTCCTTTTCTGTTCTATGATTCAGAACAGAAAGTATTATTTGTTTAAAACATGCAAATGAATGTTTAAATTTGTCTGTCCAGAGTTTTCCCTTTTGGTGGTAGTATGATAATACATGACTAATATAAGTTACAGCATAAGGCTAGTTAGTATTCCAGAACTCTGCATTAACTAAACATAGGACAGCTTAACACTTAAAAGATCCTGGCACCTATCAATCAATATAAAAATTTTTAATAGTTTCACTTTGAAGTAAACATTTTCATCCTATTTCTGTTTTCTTTGCCTTATGGATTATATATACACATGTTTATGTATATATACATACGTGTGTGTGTGTGTGTGTGTGTGTGTATGTGTGTGTGTATCAGTTGATTCAGCCTGGTCCTTTGAGGTATTGTTAAATTTGGAATAAAGCCGTGTTAACTCAACTTGTGCATATATATATATATTTTTTTCTTTTAAGTAAAATGAAGTGATGCTCATTTTAAACTGAAAGATAAAGACATAAATTGGCATTTGACTCTCTTCCTATAAAACCAGCAAGCAGACAGAAACAAAAGTGACCATCTCTGAGGCCTTTGTTTAATATCCAAGCTGACTTTAGTTTTAATGTTAGTTTTAGTTTAGCTAGTGTTAGTTTTCACAAAAGCTTTATTGCTACTATAAACCTGCTATCACAATGACATCATGACTTGTCTGCTTCTTAATTTCAAATGCTTTAGTACAAAGATGTACTTGTTCAGTGTTTTCTTACCGAATATGATGCCTGTTATCTATGTGTGAGCCCAACTTGGGAACACTAGAGAGAAATGTTTTCCTTCTGGAATGTGCGTTAGCAAAGTAAAAACAAATGTAAAGATTATAAGGAAGTATGACACTGTACTAATTGGTTATTTTATATGTAATTTTCACTTATGCAGTAAAAAGTACATATATACGTATAAATATGCAGATATATAGAAACTATCAACAACAGAAACCAACCACGAGAACTTCTTTCTCCTCTTGCTGTTGATATTTTACGGGTTGTCAGGTGATAGGTAGTTAGACCATTGTATCCAAGTTCCCTCATACACTCTATGCAACACACTGTATGGAATCATGTGACCCCTCCCTACCTCTCAAGAATGGTTGTGAGGAACTCTGATTTTTGAATGGCTTGAAGGATAGTACATGCGTTAATATAAAAGTTTTTGCTTGTAAACTAAAAATTTTTATAGGTGTTTATAGATTTTATTGTCTACAGACTATCTCCTTATGTATCTCATACACATTGTTCAAATCAACTCACAGGACTTCAGAACCTAGATAACTAACAAGCCTCTCATTCTTCTGTCTGTTGTTTCATCATACACAGGTGGAAATGTAATCACAGCTTCATCTAACCATCAAACAAATTCAATAATCAAAAGAGAGCCTAGATTATTATTATTTTTTTAATTTTGGAGGCAATAGGTGTCAAGTGATTTGCCCAGAGTCACACAGCTAGTACATATCTGAGGGCGGATTTGAACTCAGGTCCTTGTGATTCCAGGGGTGCTGCTCTTTGTACTGTGCCACGTGGCTGCCCCAAGAGCCTAGATTTTTAAAGTTTTTTGAAATTGGGGGATTGTACGAAAATAAACCTGCATACCTTGGGCAGTACTGGAACTCCTTTACTCCAATGTCCAAGTAATTTAATAATCAAATAAAAGTGTGTCTTTTATAGGCTCCCCCTCAGTACCTACCACAATGCCTTGCACATAATAGATGCTCAGTCAGTATTTCTTGAAGAATCATAGGAAATGATTAATGGAGTCACAGAATGTTAGAGCCCACATATCTTATCCAGGATCATGGAATTTCAGTTGAAAGGGACTTTAAAAGCTATCTAGTCCAACACTGTCATTTTACAGATAACAAAACTGAGACCTAAAGACAGTTTGGGGCTTGCCCAAAGTCATACTGGTAGTGAGTGGCAAAGCTAGGACTTGAACCCTTGTGCTCTGGTTTCAAAGCACTCTTTTCACCAGCATCTTAATAGGTGAAAGGTGGGGGTATTCACCTGTTCAAAATCAGAACTAGGTGGGGAAAGCCCCTTATAGTCCAGGCCTTTCTCCCAATCAGATTGCAGCAGTCCTGTCAGTTTGCTTCGAACAATGGTGCTGGTCACCTCATGGAAAGTCCTGTTACCCTACATGCCCTTGATCAGCCACTGCCTTGTTTTCCTAGTCTCCTTAGCTCCTACCTGCAGCCCAACCCCCTTTTTTGCTCTGGCTCTACACATTGCCAGATCTTGTATCCCTAATCCCAGATTGTATATCCATCTTCTCCCAGGCTAAGGTGAAGGGGAACCTCAATTCCAAAAATGCTTGGCTATCATTCAAAATATTTCCCCCTAGCAGGTCCACAGCCCTGACTGTCTCTGTGGGGCATTTACAGTTTAAAAACCTCACATTTTTTTTTCTCCAGAGCACTTTGTGTTGGGAAGGAGATGCTGACAGTAAATTGACTATTTGTGTCTCTGGATTGTTTCTTAAGGGATTCTCTTTATTACCAGACAGTTGGGGACAGTTCGTTAAGGACTTGTTCTTGTGTTTATTGATGTAAAGCTTGGGTATATGCTGTTGGTATTAGAGATTATAGTTTAGAATCATATCTTTTAATAACAAAGTAGAAATTTTGGCCTGGGGGAAATTTTCTATTAGTATCTGAACTTTATTTTCATTGATTTAAACTTTGCTGATGTCCTGATTCCAGGCCATTCCCTTGCCTTGGCCTGTTTATTTGGTTAGGATGTGGTATGAATGAAGCCAAGCTTGTCCTGTTCTCCTAGTATAAGTCAGTTAGCTTTAGATATGGGGATTGGGGAGGATACAACAACATTAGTCTGCTGTCACAGACTTTGCCCTTAAACCTAGTTAGCCTTCTTGCTTGCAAATATATGCTGTGGAAGGTGAAAGGTCTGGGCAGTAGTGTGTAGGTAGAGCTGCACCAATTATTGGAAAGGCCTCATCCTTCTTATTATTTGAGTCAGTACCATCCTCTTTATCTATACTAGTAATAATCTTTTCATTTATATGGTGCCTTACACTTTTGACATCTGTTAGCAATCCTTTAATTTTTCACTTATGTACAAACATTGTTCAGAGGAAATCATTCACTGACAGAGAAAATTGGAAGCACAAAATCCTAAGTTCTGTGATCAGGAACTTAAAAATAAAACATTTTTGTTTTTTTTTTTTTTCTTCATGGGAAATGGAGAAAAGATATATCTTATTTTTAAATCTTACATTCTTTACTTCTAACCAGAAGCTTTCCTTGCCTATGCTATGCCATAAAATAGAAATACTTTCTAAGTCCTCTGATTTTTGAAAACTCATTGGTGAAATCTCAGCTTCACTGAAGAGTAAAAAAGAAACCAACATGAGGGTTGCCATCCTTTATAGAGAATTGGTAGTCTTAGAGGTCTCATCTTACCACCTTGACTTTTGTTTCTTTTGCAGAAGTGTCATGAGTATCTATTTATACTATACACAGATAGGGAGGAGAAGCTTCCACAAGTCAACCTATTTCAAAGAAATTGTATCCTAGTAATTTTTGTGCCTTAGTAAATACCAGTTGTTAAAAATCGCATACTCATTTATTAAAAACTTGCCAAAAGTGTACCATCTTTGTGTTGAAGGTATTTGATTCTGTAATATTTCCTAATATGTAATATGATTCAAGAGTTCCTTACTGGTATCTTAGATTATATTAGGTATACTAGATATCCAGTGCATAAGAAGATTAGAAAATACATTTAATTGAGCATATTAGTGAAATTTTAATCAGAAGAAGCTTATCTTCCCCTCCTCAAAATCCCAAGTAAGCAGTCAGTTACATGTAGCTTGTTTCTAATATTGATGATTTCATCTTCCTTTTCCAATGGAGAATGTAATAATACCCTTTACACTGTATATGTATTCATGAGATGCCATGGCAAAAAAAAAAAATCAAATAATCACTCACTGATGAACCCATGGTGACAAGCTTC